TATATTGTGATTGACTGTGGGTGGAATCCTAGGGGTGTTAGCCTGTCGGTATAACCCTAGGGGTGTTAGTGGTTGGTTAGGTGGCTAGCCTAGACCTGAGACCAGAATATCCTAACCCTGGGGCCTGGGGAAGGGTCAGGTTTAGGGTTACCCATAGGCAGAGGCTGGGGACACCTAGGGTTACCGATATAGTGGGGCCTGAGGGTCTCAGATTTGAGAGACTCGGGTTATGGCTCAGTGACGAGTCATCATCGAATATCATGTAGTCATGACCACGGTTGTAGGGCAGGACTACTTTGGGAGTAATTTAATAATATTACTAACAATTTGATGCTATAGATAGAGTGTGCGCTAGGAGAATTGTCACACGCTACACCACTAATCTAATAACTTAGTGAATAAACCTGTAATTTGTGTGAGTCTAACTATTGTCTAGAATCACTCACAATTATACTATAGTAGCGTATAACAGGATAGTTAGACGCTAGTATTTTTTTTCTTCGAAATGGCGAAAGATGAGATTGAGATCTTCGAGGGGAAGAGAGATGACGATTGGCATCGATGGATGGGGTCGTCGGGCCAGGTGATAAAGGATCGTAGGACCCATAACCCTAGTCATGTTGTTGGAGCGACAGCGAAGCAGCGCCATACTGCTAGCGATTTTCTGAAGAAAGGGTTCAACACTGCGACCCAGGCCAGCACTAGGGCGACACTGGGTAAAGATCTGATGGACATTGGTCTTGTCGATACTGTAGTTTTAGCAAAACATTGCGACATATTGAAGATGCTGTTTGAAGAGCCTCGTTCTGACGTGCTCATTGCTGCGGATCGTTAGGCCGGTGAGTATCGCAACTCACCATGGAAGGTGATTGCGTTGTTGCAGAATCTCCAAACATACGACATGTGGATCGTCATGAGGCATCACTTGTTTAGGATTCTGGCGCACAGGGATGCTGATGGTGCTATACCCAATAACTTGGATGTCTTTGTGATTGACCTGCAAGCCTGGAATGGCGAGGACCATGTCCAGCTTGCTGAGCGGCTCATGATCAAGTTGCGGGCGCTTGTGAGGCACGAGGCTTCGGCTGTCCAGGAGGACCCCGACTGTGTGCTCCTGCATGAGCCGGTGATGGAAGCTGCCGAGGCGATGAAGGCTCACCTTGTTGTCGCGGCGCGCTTGTCGACAAAAGATGGGGTGATTGCAAACCACGGGCTGGGATGCTTCCAGAGCCCTCATGCCACGTTTTTTCTAGGACTGATGCGGATGGAGCCTATCTATGGAAAAGCTGTCTCCGAATCGATGACGGCCATACATGAGTGTATGGATCTCTTCTGTGATCGCTTGTTTATGCATGGCAAGGCTCTTGCAGACAACGTTAGGTTGGTCTGTCACATAAAAGGGCTTGCGTCAGTGCTAGTGATGGTACAGAATGCGCAAGGAGATGTTGCCCCACCGCCGAGAGCCAAGGGGGGGGACAGATATGAGATAGGGGCTACGTTGGCGGCCATTAATTGTTTACACAACAGCCTCGCTGGGCAGCAGAAGGATCTTGCGGAACAGAAGAGGAATCTGCGCAACCTTCTCAAGCGTAATCGTACGCCTAACCCCAATACCAAAGGGGCGGATAAGGGCAAGGGCGGTCAAAAACGCCCAAGAGATGCGTCGGAAGTGCCAGGGATTGAGCTTTCAGAGAACGACGACATCCGGGCAGCCAGGGAGGCTTACCACAATGTCATTCGCTGCCACAACTGTAAGCAGCGTGGCCACTTCCGCAAGTCATGCCCAGAGAAGCAGCAATGACTTGTGGGCGCTGTAGGCACTGTGGTGCAGGAGACGGCACAAGCTGGTAGCGTCATTCAGGACGCCGTTGCTGGTGAGGATGTCGAGGTCTATGTCGACTCGGGGACTACGACGAGTTTGGTCACCAAGTTCTTTGCTGCGCAACAGGGTTTGATAACGGCTCGATACTTAGGTTTACCATACAAAAGGGTTGCTGAGATGGGGCTTGTACGCCCATCTGGCGTGGTCAAATCTAATGTAACAATCGATACGTGGGGTGGCAATACGATTGAGAGACCAATGGATTTGCTGGTGGTGGACTCGCTGCCATTTGACACAGATATTCTGCCAAGATTTCGGTCCATGCGAAAGGACCACCTGGCCTTTATGTGGACGAAGCATGATTTTCTGGCGGTGGTGCCTCAGACGGAGATCATTGACTTACTCACCATGGAGTCTCTTGAGGAAGAGCAGCCGCCCATGAAGGCAAGGAGAACGGAGGTTAACAACAAGAGGCGCAGGCTGTCGGATGTAATTCCACAGGACTTGCGCTTGAACAATATTAGGAGTCGGCTAGGTTTGCAGGCTATACATAGGAACGAGTTCAAAAGAGCGGCGCAATTATGTTGCGTCCATGCAAGCACACTTTCTTAAGGCGCAGAAGTGGGTCGATTACTTGGCCAATGCGGCCGAATTGGATGATGCGGATGAATATGTCCTGCCGCGATTGCACGGCTTGCTAGCTGATGTAGACATGCCTATAGGCGCGGTTACCATCTCGCCATCGAAAGAGGTGGACCCAAAAGCATATCTGGACTTCGACCAGTCCCAGCTTCGGAAGCTGCACAAGAAGTGTGGACTCCCGAAGAAGGAGCTTGATGAGATGATTAAGGCCATACAGTCGGATGATGCGGATGAATATGTCCTGCCGCGATTGCACGGCTTGCTAGCTGAGGTAGACATGCCTATAGGCGCGGTTACCATCTCGCCAGCAAAAGAGGTGGGCCCAAAAGCATATCTGGACTTCGACCAGTCCCAGCTTCGGAAGCTGTACGAGAAGTGTGGACTCCCGAATAAGTAGCTTGATGAGATGATTAAGGCCATACAGTCGGTTGCATACAACGCATCGGCACCCACCTTTATGGTGTATGATGACATTCGCTTCAAGAACGGAGTGGAATTTCACCTGAAGGATGGGGTAAAGCCGTCTTACAATGTGTACCCGAACAATGACCCGACATTTACTTCTGTGTTGGACACCAAGGTTGGTGACTGGGATCATGGGGGTGTGACAAGGTAAATCTCGGAGGCCGAGGCTATGGGCTATTGTGCCATGCCGCACATGGTCTTTAAGAATCCGGGCGTGGTTCCTTTGTCAGTTCACAACTGGCGTTGCTGTATCAACTATAAGAAGTTGAACGGCACGCTTAAATGGGAAGAGGACCCAGTTCCGACCGAGCAAGATTTTCTTTCGGCAGTACGGGGCAAGAAGTACCGCACGAAGGTTGATCTTGGACTGGGTTTTTGTCAACAGAAGGTGGCTGAGAGTTCTCAGTACATGCTTACCTTTCGGACGCCGTGGGAAAAGCGGACGTTTGTTGGCATGCCGTTCGGCATAAAACCTGCATCGTGGATCATGCAGGCGCGGATGGAGCATGCCTTCCAGAGTGCGGATGGCCTGATGACCTATATTGACGACATGGGCGTGGGTCACAACAGTACTATAGAGCACTGAAAGAGCATCAAGAAGCTCATTGCGGCGTGTGTGAAGCACAATGCAAAATTGAACCTCAAGAAGTGTTGTTCTGGGTTCTCAGATCGGCCAGTTGATGCGTTGGGGCGAGTGGTGGGTGAAAACGGGTCGTACATCAGTGAGGATCGGATGGAATCTATTCTGCGCATGCCGCCGCCTACGGATAAGGATCTCTTGGCCTCGTGGTATCACACGATTGGCTACTGGAGCCAATACATCCCTGACTACTCTGGGATCATGGCCCCTATCTCGAATCTGAGTAAGAAGGAAGTCCTCTTTGTGTGGGGTCGGACGCAGCAAGCGGCCTATGATCGGATTCGGGACGAGGTGGCCAAGAGAGGGGTGTTGGTCGAAATAGGATTTGAAGACAAACTGGAGATGTATTGCGATGCCTGTGACTCGGTAGGAGTAGGTGGGGGGTTTGTTTTCTCGGCGCAAGAGTAAGCTCTGCCCCGTGGGCTTCTGGTCTTCGAAATTCAGCCCGGCGCAGTTGGGCTATCACATTACGGACATGGAGGCCCTAGTCATCGTGTATTGTCTCCATAAATCCTGGAGGATCGTCAAGCGTTCGCGCCACCCGTTGACGGTGTTCACGGACCACTAACCGTTAGTGCGTATGCTAACGCAAGATCTCACGTCGTATGAGTTTACGGTTAGGGGCCGACGTATGGCTAGGTACGCCCAAGTGCTGCGGGATTTTGACATTATCCTGAAGCAAGTGCCGGGGTAATTGAATCCAGTGGCGGATGTGCAATCCCGACTGGGGTGTCATATTAACCCGATTATGCAGTCGAGACGTCTGCCGGTGGACAATAGGGTGCATTGGGCTGAGCCAGTGGTGGTTAAGCCGTATACGAAGTCTTATGCAGTGAACAGGCAGCTCTTTGACAAGACTGGGGCGAAGTTTGGCCCATTTGATGCTGAGGGTTTCGCGCATTCGACGAATTATCGGATGAAGCCGTACTACCAGCCTACCTTGGCTGAACGGGTGTTCACGTGAAGGACCTGGATGGGACCGCGTTGGTACTTCAACCCGAAGTGGTCAGATCTTGGCAAGGTGGTTCCCAGGATTCGCAGGGACAAGGCTACGATGACAATGGTCTGCCCATATGCGCCGGAGGCGCGGTGGTTTAAGGAGATGGTTTCCCTGCTGTCAGCGGACCCTATGGTGATTTATCCCAAAAAGGGAATCTTCCTCAAGCACGGGACTGAACCTATGGGGGCGCCAGGGTTCTTCACGCTAGTATGCCATATGAGCCCTTACCGAGACCACAAGCTTCGAGAAGACTTCTGAACGGAGTTGGAAGCTAATCGACCAGCTTGGGAGAAGCTGGCTGCGGCGGCGGTGCTACGTGAAGAAGACATAGTGTCCTGTATGACACAGAGTGGTGTCATAGGGGCGGTGACGCATCCGAGTGGGAAACCGGTTCGTAGGGGTATGCCAGCGGAGGAAGCTGGTATAGCAACCACCCTTGTTGGTGCAGTGAGTGCGCTAACGTTTACCACTCAGCCTTGGCGGGCGGCTAAGGGTGTGCTGAGTGAGTCCCTGAAGCATGCGGAAGCGTAGCTGGGAGGGGCATCTGCTGACCCTAGTGAGGAATCACTGGGTGGTGCGATGGCAGAGACTTGGCTGGGGTCAGCTGAGGTGAGCACGAGTGGGGGGTTGCTTGGTGCTATGTACACTCGGAGCATGAGTGCTAAGTCGCCGGTACTTTCGCGGCGTAAGCATAAGGCAGCGGTGGTGGTGGATACTCACCCGACCGTGGAGGCTATGGACCTTGATGAGTCACAGGGTGATGCATCATAGGAGGATCATGCGCGAGATAATGAGGAATCACTCACCAAAGAGGATGTAGTCCAGTTGGAGCAATATCCGGCGGATGACATACCACTGGATGACGAGGAGGAGCCGCCAGTGAATGAGCTAAGTGACAAGCTTTTGCGTCAAAGATTGCAAAGCTTAAAACGCTCTGTGTATGGTGTGGAAGGGGGGGGTGATGTCCTCGAGCGTATCGTTCGATACACGCATGTGCTGTTTGCACATGCCAGTGCCAATGTTTTTTTGCTATGGGGTTGGGGCGGCATGAAGGAGATGTTTTAGGGTTTTAGGCCAGGCTTGGTGAAAGGCTTGCTGTAGCAGCCAGTGCGTCTAGAAGAGGCCATGCGTGAAATAAGCATGGACTTCATGGACTTTGACACTGTTAACGGGCAGCCCAAGGTCCTATTGGCAGTGGACACGCAGACTCGGATGTTGTTTGCGTGAGTGTGTCCAGTATCGACGGATGGGCCAGGTGTGGTCCGCTTCTTAGAAGAGCAAGTGTTGGCGTGGGGATCGCCGGTACGGCTGGTTATGGACGCGGACAGGAGGTTTCAGAATGGTGACGTTAAGACGTTCTGCGAGCGACGGGGTATCGAACCGCACTGGGTGACGGTCGATAATCATCAGAGCAACGGCCGACCGAAGACGTTGATTCGGACAATAAAGGATTGGTTGCGCTGGGAGATAGAGGCTAATGATGAATCACCTCACGCTTGGCTGCACCTGGTGTATGATATGGTGCGGGTGTACAGTGCCACCAGGAACTCGGTGACAGGGTTTGCGCCGTATTTCCACCTGACAAGGAGATACTTTAATGGCCAGAAGAACCTGGAGCTGCAGGATAGAGTGTTGTCCTTGTTGGAGTTGGAGCAAGGCACTGAAGCGATGGTCCGGGACGCAGTGGCAGCGGTCAGGGACAGGCGGTTTCAACTGAAACAGCAGACATGAGCTAGTGTTCGACGGGACGATGTCCCTCTGTTGGCAGTCGGCTCGAGGGTCTGGTATCGGCTGCGAGGGAAGTCTCACGATCTGTCATCGCGGTGGGGTGGACCGGCGCGTGTAGTGGCGGTTCAGGCGCCCTTAACACATACGGTTGAGATGCCTGACGGATCCCACCGTACTTTCTTGAGGGCGGAGTTGAAGCCGCTTGTGGAGAAGCTTTTGGAGCGAGAGTAACGGCGCTCTGTGGTGCGGTATCGCCCCCACGGACCGTATGAAGTGTGATTACTGTATCATTCACCTCTGACTGAGCAGCAGGATGGCCACCGTCAAGCGTTAGGGCCGTGCGTCGTACGAAGAAAGCGAGTGCTTGGTCGGGTGAGCTTAGTTCGGCCTGGGGACTCTGGGAGTTATGGTGTGACGAGGCGAATCTACCATTTTTTGCACCACTGGTGGACGGTGAAGACAAGCAGAAAGTGCTTGCCGAGGATTATCAGGTCTTGATGAAGCAGGTGCTACCGCTGAAGAAGAGCCGTGATGCATTCAAGAGAAAGATTTTGAATGGATTCGCTCTTGCACAGTCGGCGCTCTACAGGAAGAAGCGTCTACAGGCTTGGGGTGAACTACAGATAGCAGAGGATGTATCTGA